AAGCATGAAGGGCAGTTCTTGTTTGAGATCAATTTGCCAAAATCATTCAGTGTTGCTCCATACATTAAAATCTCGAGCAGTAGCTGCTGGCATACAGTACATACAGTACCATCCAAACCTTTGAGGTCAGTGAGTATAAACCCATAACTATAAACCCATACTTTTTCTCGGCAATGATGTTGCTAAGGTGGTTGCTACAGATTTAGGGTCTGATCAAACGGTAAACCTACATATCCCATATGGCAGAAAATAAATATATTTAATCAATAAATTTAAAAAAAATATATATTTCAAAATATACAAACGATGGCTAAAATTGGCAAAACTATGTTTCACAATATATTTATGTAAAAATATTTACGTAAAAAAAAAATTCAAAATGTATTTTGCCCTCCATTTATTTTCAATCCAAGAAAATATGTTCACATTTCACATTTGAAGAAAAACTGTATTTGTTGTCTACAACACATGTGAAAATATAACACATTTGAAAAAATATTTAAAAAAAAATAAAATAATGAATTATAAATCTAGATTTGATCTCTAGTAGGCTATTCCATCCACATTTGCTTTTAGACTAAATGTGCAGGCTGCTGTAAGATTAGAAATATATTTTCTGAAAAAAAAAAAAATATTTTGAAATATATGTTGGTACATTTGGTATATGAAACTAAATATATTTTCAATTTCAAGAATACATTTCATTTAACTTCATTGTTTACAACATACTGTATATATTTAAAATATGTTTTGCCGAGAAAAATATATATATATATATATTTATATATCTTTTTTTTTTGTCGTATGAGTATAGTAATAGTAATGCTTGCCTTAGCCATAGGTCTTCAAGACTAAGTTGTGTTTTGCTGACACATCCTGTTCGGTATTAATATTGTCTGTTGCACATAAATCTTGATGAAAGACAAACATGAGCTTGTAATACAAAAAGAGCACTGCCGCGTTGCCAATGATCAATATTTCCAACCGTTCGCTTATTTTTCAGCAAGAACTGCTGATGAGGTCCGGCTGTAGTTCTTCATTACAAGGATATAGATTTGCTTCTATCAAAGAGCACTTGACATATGAAACTAAACCTCTATTTTAAAAAAGACTTTCATTGGTATTTCATCACCAGAGCCCCAAAACCATTGGATCGCTCCCAGCTGAAAGTCCTGCTGCTGCAGTATGGATTCAGCTGAGCACGGGTCACTGGGCTGGAGGAAGACGGAGTAAAATTAGTCACCAATGCAAACCTGATTCTCAAAGTCCTAAAACTGTTTTCCAAGGGCTGACAAAGGGACTTTCAGGAAAAGGTCAGCAGATCTAATAAACAGACTGAAAAAAAGAGAAAAAAAACCTCTGCTATCTGTCATTACAGACAAACTGATTTACACTAGGTGTGTGCGTTAATATATGGGGGCAAAAATGCCCGTATGAGTTTTTGTGGTAACATTTTAGATTAGATTTGTGTGGAAACACATATTCACTATTAACTAAGAGTTTTCCCTCAACAAGCTAATGGCGTTCTGCTTATTGATAGTAAGTAAGGTAGTTATGTTTATGAATGAAACGGATTTGTCCGTGTTTCACTCCGTCTCGAATCGCACTTGCGGAAACCACTTGAGAAACAGTGTCTCTCTATTGGTTATGGTGTGATTTCAACTCGTTTTATTTAGTCTCGAACAAGACTGTATGACATTCACATTACATGATTTGACTGATTTTTACGTAGAAAGGGCGACAGCGCACCACATTAAAATAAATGATCATTCATGTTTTCATAACGACTGGCCAAATTCAAAAACGACACTAAAATTAAATCATCTTTGAGAGCAAGGGGGCCCCCTGGTGTTTAGGGGGCCCTACGCAGCTTGCGTATTTTGCGTATAGGGAGGATCGGCTCTGGATTCAATTATAAAGACAGTCACTTGCTTTGTCCCTGAATGAATCAGCCGTTTGAATAAATTAGTTGAATGAATTATTCAATGACTCAATCATTAAGACAGTGACTTACCACTACTGGCAGTTTTAGTTTCATTTATGAAGTATCTTCTTCATTTATTTTTTTTTTATAAAAAATAATCTTTCAATATTCAAAATATATTTTTTAAACATGTATCTTATCAAATTATTTATACAATTGTAATTGCAGTGCAAATATGTCTAAACACTAAGCATTTAGCAGCTTCTATGGCAGTGCAAAAGTGTATTTTGTTGATACTGATTAAATTTTATTGGTAACAGTGTCTTATTATTCTAACTGAATTCATTGATTAAATGTACGAATTTGGCATAAAAAATGAAACATACATCCTATAAGATAAAAAATTGCTCTTATAAAGGTAAAAATGGCCCTAGATCAATTTAAGTGGAAAAATATTGCCTTAAAGAAAAATGAAAAGCAAGCACCCCTATTATGGATTTTTGAAAATTACATTCCATGCAGTGTGTAACGTAGCTGTATGTGAAAGTCTGCAAAGTTGTAAAGCTGAAATCGCTTAAACGAGTCGTTTAAAATTGGAATCTCATTTTCGTGAAGTTCACGTCACAAGTTACCACATTTGCATAAAGCCCGCCTATGTTCTGCGTGGACTGCTTCTCCAATCTCCGCGAGCTCAATGCGGGATTCGTAAACAGGTTGTCTTTCAAAGATGGATCAGTGCCCAGTTTGTTCGGACCAGCTTGCTCCTCCGAATCACAACTCGTAAGTATGATTAATAATTGTTGCTGTAATGTTCTGTCAAGCGTGCAAAATATGTAGTTTTGTGTGTTGTGTTGTGTTGTTGTGCATACACTCAGTGCAGCTGTAAGTCTCTAGCTAACTCATGTTATAGTTCTGCTAACCAGCTATTGTCTAGAAATGTGTCGATTAACAGAATGCCTGTCGTTCCCTAAATTATCGTCATTGATATCGTTATCGCAATAAATATCAGAAATTATTGTGATATATTTTTAAGCCCATATCGCCCATCCCTACTGTCATTCTTATTACTTGGAGTCATGGGTCTTTACTACCAAGCTGTGATGGGCATTCTGTTTCCGACACGCGCTGTATGCAGTAGACCAATCACAACAGACCTGGTCATCGGACCAATCAGAGCACAGTAGCCTCACGCAAAGTAGGGGTTTGGAAAGAGGAATCTTCGAATAAATCGTCTGAGAGTCGCTGAGAAATAAGGTACATTTAAATGAATTTTATAAGAAAATGAATGTGTTTTTTGACCTTGCATGCATTTATGCATTCTTGCGGGCACTTTAATATCTGTCACTGTTGTGAATGAACCACTGCACAGAATACAAAGAATATGAAAAAACTTCAGGGGTCAGTTGTCCATGACAGGCCTATGCCAATGTACCAGTGCAAAAACATACAAAATATCATCTAATTATCGCATTTATACTATAATTATCAACAAAATCACATGAAATATTGATAAATCATTTTTTGTCAATATGGCACACCCTTAATTGACACTCATTCACTTGAGCTTCCTTTGCTTTGAAGCCGCAATTATCCTATTTATCGCAATTATCCGCCTGCGGATTATCCTAGCCTGTATAACACCAATAGTTTTCTGATGTTGCATTTCACCACTCAAAGAACAGCTGATAGCTCTCAAATCCTAGTGTTCCAAGAAGATTTCTGCACTGAAGACCCAAATCTGCTGGACTAAACATGGGCCTTGTGTCTACATCCATTAATTGAAGGGACTCAAATGCTCTGCTGACGTGATGCATAGATTTAGATGTTTACACACAGCAGATACATATATTGCTTCAGGGTATATTTAATAGTAACGTGTGTTGCATACAAATAAAGTCTGCACAACAAGCTGGATCATATGAGCTATATGTATAGTGATAGTTCCCAGTTTTCCTCTTCCAGTAGCAGTCAACATCAATATCGTGTTTGAGCATAACTGAAATTCTATATATGGGTGAAAGGGCAACGCAGCGGTCAATATAGAGCAGTTGCCATCACTGTTTTTCATTCAGTCCTGTGCTCTGACTGTACTGTTACAAGACGCTTGTTTAATGATTTCTTGCTTGATATGTTATGGTACACCAGACTATCGTTAAATATTGAATGCATTAATAGAAAGCTGAAAGCATTACAAAACATTCCTTCAAATATACCAGATAATTGTCATCCACAAATGTGCAAATTACATGTGCTGAAACATCGCTGTTTCTCTCAAATGCACAACAGCAACAAAAAAGTTGTCATTTTTAGCCAAAACAGCTAAAAAAAAAAGACTTTTTTATCGCCTAGTTCTTCAGAAAGCCATGCATCTGCTGCTTAAAGGACCCAAAAAACAAATTTGAAGAACCTATGAAGAACTTTCTACAGGCCTGAAGAACTTGACTAACTTTGCTGTTTTCATGCCAGACACCCTAATGAGGTACTGTACAATAAACTGTATGCGCAAATAATAATGCTAACAATAATGTTGAATAGTGCTACATTTTGGTAATATGTTCCTCAAACCTTACTAAGACGATACTGAAGCTGTTGTATTACAAGATGAATCTGAAATATCACATAATATCTAATGCAGGGTTCATCTTACTCCAGCAAAACACACAATTAGAGATGTGCTTTCAGTCATAAAATATTATATTGAAAAGATTCACTTCCATCTACAGCATTCATGGTTTATACCTGATCTCTCCGAGATGTCAAACAGAAGTAATGCCATGTTTTCTGTTTCAGTTTCAATGCGACTGTAGGAAAAGTCAACCTGATACTTCAATACAGCTTTGAGAGATCTCTCAGATCATGAGGATGAAGAACCACTGAAGCACCTTTATCGCTTTTGAACACAATCAAAAGCCCTGCGATGGTCATTCTGCTCGTTTGCTCTGGAAGAAAGCATGCTCTTACAATGAACCCGTCTCTCTCTCATTCTCAGATTCATAAGAATCAGGCAAACGCGCAGAGATCATGTGTCATCTCCCAGCTCAGCTCTAGATGTGACTGACGGACGGTCAAATCTCACCTAAGGTGAAGTAGGGCAGCGCCGTGTTGTCCAGATCATCCAGAACCGAGATTAATTAATAAACTGTTACCATTTTTTTTTCAGTGCATATTCTAATATTATTATACTGGTCCATGGTCAGAAATGAACTTTTCCATTAAGTGGTGACTGACGGACGGTCAAATCTCACCTAAGGTGAAGTAGGGCAGCGCCGTGTTGTCCAGATCATCCAGAACCGAGATGCGACCCGGCAGGTCAGTCCTGACGAACAGCAGCAGTCTGGACTCCCCTCCGGCGAGACTCCCGGATCCCGCGCCGGTGAAGCTGAACTCATTCTCCCGGAGCACGGGCAGAGTGGACACGGTCACGGTCTTCACCTCACACGGGCTCTCCGCGTCGCCTCTGCTGTCCCGGTCCTCGTCCAGCTTGCCCCCGGCCCGGGTCCCGCTCGCACGGAGCCCCAGCAGCAGCAGGAGGAGGAGACGCGCGTCTCTCGATGTCATTCCGCTCGCGGTGCCGCTGCGCGTGGATTGAGCGTCTCGTGAAAAGCACTGGTGGTTTATAGCAGCGGCGGCGGTACTGAGCGCGACCGGTAGGCGGCAGCACTGAGAGCCGCGTCCTACACATTCACAGAGACATAATCACTGAGACAATAGCATCATACAGTACACAATGAAACAGTCTATGAGATCCTATCAATTAACATATACACAATAAACCAAAACAATACCACCAGCCATTAAATACAGACTATGAATTTTTTTTTTCATTATTTGTATTATTATAATTATTATTGCATAAGAAGCATTTAAAATCGTTATTTATTGCTATAGTATCCATAAATTGAACTAGAATTATATATATATATATATATATATATATATATATTTTGCACAATATATCATGCT